CCCGACATTTTTATAGTTTAAAAAAATCCCCAAAACACACGACGTATACATGCCAACACCGAAAGCTCTTCAATAAATCCCTGCAGTGACTTTTATATGAAACATTGTAAAAAGAGGATACAACTGTCCCCCAATGCTAATTCTGCCACGTTGCCATTACGTTTCTATAATAGGCATACATCTTCCTGTAAATGGCCAAGGATGTGTGCATTATAATCTCATTACGTTTGCAAAACAAGTAGTGTGCTAAAAAATTAATGCACACCAGCTAATTAAATCTATTCATCCTTTAATTAATTGATTCTCGGTTGATATTGGAGATGTTGTGCTTTGAGTCACACATGTATGCGTGTTGCCAAGTCGTTTTGTTAAACAAGGCCGGACATGCAACTACAAGAGGTAAATTAATTGGCCTTTCCTCCGTTTCCATTAGGCACGAATCGATGCATAGACATAGTCAATTAACTAATATTATTCTGCTCGCAATGCACACATCAAATCCTTCACGTGAGAATTGATTACCTTCAATCTATGCAAATCTTATACAAATTATATACTGATTTTGCATGTGGACTAGCAATGAACAAAACTGTACAACAAAGACAAAACATTTGAAACTAGACAATTGGGATTATAAAAACTGGATTAAAACAAAATTAATTCTTGAAACAAATCACGGCCCTGAATATTGATAATTCGTTGAATCTTTGGGGGAGGAGGTATATCTTTTTAGATGCTTCATTCGCATTAATGTATAAAGTCACACAGACTACACCTCATATTTTACAAAGCCAGCGTGTTCTGAAGCATGCGCTTGGGCATGGTAGCAAAATCTAAGCTAATATTTCAACCTTACTCCGCAGAAACTTCAGGGGGATGGTTTTGATAACTGGAGCAGACGCACTGATAGGCTACACTTGTCTGAGCCAGGAATCAGATGCTTCAGTCCGAGTACTTGCCAAGATGTAATTGACATATCACTGCCTGCTAGCACTTCTGTGCTCGAACAAGTCTAGCAGCATTCAGCTTCAATGATTTTCTTCTTAAAGGTCTGAAAAAAAAATTTGCCCGGTCTACACTGCATGGAGTAAATGCTGTTTTGTTAATATTTTCCAGAGAATGGTTATTTATGAATTCATCATCGTGGAACATTTATCAATAGGGATGCACAAGTATACCGAATAATTTCTGGTAATGTATGGCCAAAACCTCTATTTTCATGATCATCACCATCAGCAACGGTCCACCCACGGCGAGAGACTTCACAATCCATCACGGTCTCGCCATGAAAAAATGCACCTGGCTAAAATCATGAGAATAAAAATGCACATTTTTCGCTTACTAACTTGTGAGAATGATTGACAGCCGAGATTAATGCCTGCGAGTTAAGTGGCTGTGGAACATGACTTGAGAAGCAGAGGAAACTGGTGGAGTGGGGGGAAGCAAATCTTCTACTCGTGGGGTATTATGGGTCGGCAGGGCTCCTCCTTGCCAAGTCATGTTCCTGCTCATGGCAGTTATCTCAACCTCGAAAGCACCTCCAGCTTCCCCTCTTTCCAGCAAAATCATGACCTCTTCATCTCATCATTTGTAATCACTTATGTTCCTTATAGTCACGTTAACATGTGCCACCCGAACAATTCTATGATTTTTTTCACGATTTGTGGACAGGTGTTGGAGTCACAGCAATCGAAAAATCGATGTGACTTTACCGAAAGAAGCAAAGAGTAATCGAAACATCGTTTACATATTTTACGCTGTGGCGAACGTAGCATCTCCAGTGGCCACAGGAATCACGTTAACCCAATACACACAACGTCCACACATAAAAAAGGATATATTCTCAAACGCTCAATTCGATACGATAATCGTGCATGCAAAAATGGATTTTAATCAATGATCGCATGCATTGTTACATTCCTTCTCCTAATGTCATTGCTTTTGTCACTCACTCGTCATTAACGATCAGATTAACCAATAGTAGTATCACCGTCTCCTCTCCACGAGTTGGAGAGCCACTTGCGAAGTCACTCTCTGCTCAGCGACTTTCCAGAATATTGGCTCACTAAACTCCGCAGTCATGTGGGACAATCGTCTGTCATACGCAACTCCCGAGTGGTAAACTATATTCAATATTTGTCCATCGTTTTAAGCGTGGATCCACAAATACATCATTTTTCACTGTGCTTCAGAGCCATTGACAATGGTATTTTTTATCTCTACTTGAATTCTCCAGCATAAAAAAGGAATGATAGCAACAACAATAAAATCTATTCAAGAACCCAAGACGCAGACATCAACGAGGGAAACACAGGTCACGAGCCTGCAATGAACCCAGAGGAATATACCCTCATATGAAAGACCGATTGGAGGCACTTGGGCTCACTGCTCTACCACAGTAGGGGGCCGTCCATAAATGACGTCACGCACTTAGGAGGGGGGTCAGACATTTGTGACGATGTGTGACGGGGGAGGGGGGGGGTTGAGAAATGTGACGTCACATCAAAATGCGCAACTTTAAATAAATATTGACAACACGTTCTACTTAATTAGACTTTTTAATAAATGTTTTCTCCTGCAACATCAGAGTGCAGCGCCACATTAAATACGCACTACAATGACAACAGTTTAAAGCGATTTTAAACATGTTTTATTTTTTAAATGGAAATATGGTTTTGGGGGGAGGGGGGCAGAGCTTTGTGACGTCATATTTGAGGGGGGGGTCTGACTTTTTGTGACGCCGTGTGACGAGGGGGGGGGCGGTCAAAAATCGTCCAAAATCTCGTGACGTCATTCATGGACGGCCCCTAGGGGCAAGGATCGGGAGTAGCATAGATATAGCAAGTTTTAAAGGGGGAAATGACATTTTTATATCAGGAATTTTTTAAAGAAAAGGTGAAATACTTTTTCTCTGTTAGAAGGTTACTCCATAGACCATTAGTATGGAGAAAGAACGAAGAGGGAAGGAATGGAATCAACATAGTTGAGGTCTTCATGCCTGACGAAAATAACTCCATGCAGGTCAGCAAGCCATGACCAGAGGGATTAATTGCGTATGAAATAAGAGGACAATGCAGGTGGGGGCTGACGACAGAGAAACGTCAGTATAAAAACAGTTGTATACAATTTTTAAGTTTGATTTAAGTTAATACTTTACCATTTCATCTTACTTTATTCACACCTTTGAAGTGTTCTTTGGGTCTTTCGGTAAAGTCACGTAAATAGAAAAAAATATAACAATGTCAGTGTAACGACGTTTCGATCGCAACACAAGCAATCGTCATCAGGATCAGGGCTAGGCCGGCGCTGAACAAGATCCGTTTAAACCCTCCCCGTAGAGGTGGTTAAATCTTGACTTAAAGCTTTCGTGACTGCAGTCTATAATGTAGACTTATTCTTTGTTTCTTTCGGTAAATAAATAAATAGAACAATAAAAAGCAAAAACCACGACGTTTCGATCACAACACAAGCCATCGTCTTCAGGAGGAAAGAGACTGCCAGTACGCTCACCGATATTAAGAACCAGGCTACAGTCTACATTATAGACTGCCAGTACACTCACCAAACTTAATAACCAGGCTACAGTCTACATTATAGACTGCCAGTACACTCACCAAACTTAATAACCAGGCTACAGTCTACATTATAGCCTGCCAGTACACTCACCAAACTTAATAACCAGGCTACAGTCTACATTATAGACTGCCAGTACACTCACCAAACTTAATAACCAGGCTACAGTCTATATTATAAACTGCAAGTACACTCACCCAGCTAAATAACCATTGCTACAATCTACATTATAGACTGCCAGTACACTCACCAAACTTAATAACCAGGCTACAGTCTACATTATAGACTGCCAGTACACTCACCAAACTTAATAACCAGGCTACAGTCTATATTATAAACTGCAAGTACACTCACCCAGCTAAATAACCATTGCTACAATCTACATTATAGACTGCCAGTACACTCACCAAACTTAATAACCAGGCTACAGTCTACATTATAGACTGGCAGTAAACTCACCAAACTTAATAACCAGGCTACAAAAAAAGATGACGTTTCGATCGCAACACAAGCAATCGTCCTCTTTTTCTCCTGATGACGATTGCTTGTGTTGCGATGAAAACGTTGTAGTTTTTTGTAAAAAAAAATACGTGTTCTACGTGACTTTCCCGAAAGACCCAAAGAATATGAATTCCTGCAGTCACGAAAGCTTTAAGTCAAGATTTAAGCTACAGTCTACATTAGTGGTTTTTGCTTTTTATTATTTTTATTTCATATTTATTTTTTTATTCACTTTACTGTTATTATTATTTTTTTATATCTAAGTGACTTTACCGAAAAAAACAAAGAATATGTAAGGGGCTAATTTGTCACTATAACGTTGCACCATACAAACTCCAAAGAGGCCACCTTCGGGACACAATTGTTTTAGAGCTGTTCGTTTTATTTCAATCATCACTCAATGTAAGCAGAGTCGACTTAATAATAATAATAGTTTACATTTCTTAGGAGCATTTCATCCGTAGATCCCATTGTGCCATTGACCTCGTTGTACCCCTCTGAAGAGTACGCTATGTACAAGTCATTTAGACGAATCCTTTTTACTTCCCACCGCAAGTTATATTTGCGAGGTAGCTGAAAGGTGGTTGTGCATCAAGTGGGTTCATGAACTCTCGTGAGAGAAGATTTGAGAGCTATCCTCTCGTATCCATAGTGGGATTTCTCTCCGTACTCCCACACAACACTACTTTAAATAGCGTTGACGAAACGTTACACATTGCAGGACCCTTGTTAAAAAAAGACCTGAGACTCAAAGTTGCCCTGAATAAATAAATAATACTTGTAGTATTCACTAAAGTTAAAGGCTTGAACGAGATTGTTTAATTTGATCTTTAACATGGCTAACACTTTCAGTTTTTAAATAAGCCAATAACCATTAAAATCGTACCAAGTCACTTACTGAAATACAGAACAAAATAACTACTTACCTGAATATTGTGGTCAATAATATTTTTTACCGTGTGACTAATTTTAATGCTTGAATAGGAGGTGCCTGTTGCTAACTGGCTTGGTGATATCTCTTGAGGCAGATGGAGGTTGTGGCAGTAATTGTGATCGTCCACAACAACTCATTCTGAGGGGAGTCACATTCCTCAAATACCACGTCTTCAGCGGAATTTATCGATGCAATAGAAATGCCGGGTCGGGGAACGTAGATAATGTTAAAAACAAGCCAGTATGTTTTCCTTTTCTTCTGGCCATGGAAATAGGCTCAACAAATACCGCAATTCCAAGAGATAAATCTCACTCAAGGTCACTCATTCCATATAATGTATCAGTACATTTCAAAACTTTGTACGAATTTAGATTACTATTGCAATTCTGAGCGCTCATTTTTTTTGTTATATATATTGTCAATTAGGCAATACAATACAATGCTATACTAAATAGATTACATGTTTAAAACATATTTGTGTTTACACAGCTTCGAATGTACATGCTCACATTGAAAAATGCACCACATTCCAGTATTCCTATTAAGTAACAAAGCCTCTTTACTTCAAGGGAAACACTTAATTTCATATATTGTCAAGCATCAGTTGAATAAATAATAGAGAAGCATCTAAAATGTGAAATTCTATGGAGGGTCCAGTGGTATAAGCTAAATTCACAATATATTGCTGTGCTCCCAAGATATCCTAATCGGATACATGCACTGCAATGTGATCTACATAATCTCTGCGAAAGCTCAAAACAAATCGAATTAATATTGTTTTGCTGTTTAGACTCGCAAGATGCAATAATTAATGCAAAAAAAACACATGGTTGTAATAATAATAACAATTTCCAATCCTGTGTCAAGCTATTGCCTTATGAGGGTCTCTAGATGCCATGTTGGGCAAGGCGATTGCTTGCACAAAGCCTATACAGGCTTGGTGAGGGGTAGGCTAAGGACTGATTCAGATACGGCTCAATATGTTAATTATGACTGGATGGAAGTCTGGTCACCAGATTCAGAGTGCAAAATGTTCACCACTGAACTACAACATTATATTTCACGCAAAAATAATTTCACAATTTACACTGCAGTATTTCACACGGTCGTGCTTTCAGAATAACAACAACAAATTGTTTGTTTGTAACAAATAATGCCCTATTGGAAATCAATATTGACAATTCAAGCATTAATAGATATAAATAACAAAGTGTTGGCACCTTGATTAGCCTGCTATGATATGAACCTGGTGAATCGAGTGTTAACATGAGTGGGTAGTGATTCCTGTACCAGTCTTGTCCGCCTGTCCCCATCTTCACCAAACTACACTGCCGAGCATGGGGAAGTATGGTCGAATAACTGCCATGGCCTTCCTACTCTACCAGTCATGGCGGTTGTTTTACCGTAATTCACTATGCTTATCAAACATCTGCCATGACCGACAGAGTTGGAAGGCCTTCACCTAGCAGTGGATTGACAACTGGCTGTAAATGATAAAAAAATATTATTTTTAGAAATTACAGGACAAAATTCGGAACATAACGCCAGAAATATGAAACTGAAACATATTTTTGATAACAGGCATATAATTCATATCACCATTGATCAGACCGCGGTTGTTTTAATGTGTTCTGGCAGTTTTAAGCCAGAATGTTTGCATTCAATCGTATCTCGTGCAATTTTCTCCAATGCCTCTACATGACCATTCTTGTCAATTTATTTTCTCAATGTGTTTTATATTTTATGTAACAAAAATAAGTGCAGTTCACCTTCTTTACTTAGACGTATAATTTAAAATTGTTGTCAAATTTTGTTTAAAAAAAGGAACATATTTGTATATATGTTAAACTTCTTTTACACTGTATGTTAGCCAACCGTGCTAATCACATGTGTGGGGAAGGACAACAAACATATTTGTCCATAACACTGCCTTAAACGCGAAATATGTAATCGGTGCCGTTTTGGGCAATGGCCCTTATTAATTGTACACAATAAACTGTCAAAAAATAATGTCAAAAATAATGTACAAATTTAATCGAGATGTGTTAATTTAAAAATGTTTTGAAAATACAGTATTCTGTATATGTAACATGTCTTGATGTAACCTCGGTCACCCTAGGCAGCATTTCATGTGTCTCAATGGGTTAAATTTCATCTCCTGGTTAAATAAAGAACAGTGACCGAATGACCGTTGTGACACTTTACATTTGAAATTATGTAATTAGAGTTCGGGGGATTTATTTTTTTACAAAACAGAGGCTAACCGAAGGCCCTGCCATGAGTTGACCTATAAGAAGAGCAGTACAGTGTCAGTCATTTAAAGATTCCAGTTAGACATGCAGCGAGTAATTTTATATTCATGAATGCAAGGCCCTTTTTAAAAAGTAATGTGCATACGTAGTATCTTGGTGAAATATCTGCCTTGGCTGCTTGATAAGAATAAGTGACTTGGCCAGCTCTGTCTTCCTGATGAGGTCACAAGACCACACTTACTCAACCTTCCCTGCACAAGCCTACGGGGGAAAAAAATAGATATGTTTCTAAGCATCCGTTTTTACAGATACAAGCACATGCAACTGTATTCAGATTTGTTTTCTCGTAAAAAACATGCACATTGTACATTAAGAACGTGAGTAGTAATAAATGTGCAAATGTAATGGACTAGAAAGTTTGTAAGGATTGTGCTGTTTTGAGTTGTTGAATACAGCATTTTTAAGTTTGACAATTTTGATAAACCAGAAATTACAATAGACACTGACAAGAACATGTGTGTAGTATACAGAAACCAAAGTCACAGAAAATTACACCAGCATGAATATCCTTTAGTCTTGTATTATAAGTACTCTTCAATGTTCAAGCCAATGAAATAAAGTTGCAATAGCGATGCATTTTGTGCATAATGTAATATTTCATAGTATATATGTTTTTAAATAATCATACATAACAAATTAAATAGTTGTGACCAAATGATGTTATAATCAAATAATGATCTCATTGTGTATTTACATCCCTTTAAATAATGCTGCACAGTGTAGCACCACATTTCAAAACCATATATTTTAACAGCTTACAAGAACAATTGTAACGTATCACGAAATCATTTACACAGATGTAATCTTTCACGCTGTACCAATCCTCACATTTTAAAAGCATTGCAATTTCGTTCTTGTATTTTCCAGACCAACGTAGATGTGCATTGCCTTCCTAAAATACTTCATAGCCTTAAAAGCTCCCGAATGTTCTCATTTGTTATCCATTCAACCCACAACCCTCCTCTCCACAACCTCATGCCTCCTCCCCCTACACACGCACATATCTTTCTGTACATCTACCTTGTGCTCAAGAAGGGTGCACAAGCTTCCTTGCACTCATTGCCATTCATCATTGTCTGAAGTCCACCACGTTATGGATGGCTACTTAGTTACATGTTCAGCTTCTGGTTTACAATGTTCCTTTTGCAAAAGCATAGAGGCCCCAATGAAGGATAAATCTCCAAGAAACATTTTTTTTAAATAAAAAATGTCTTTCTTCATGACAACTCAACTTGAAATCAGAGTAAAATTCATGAAAGCCACCTTCAAATTGAATGATAATTCTATGCGGTTTTAATGTTTCCCATTACCATTCACTGACCGATTGGTGGTGAGACAGATTTGCACATTAAGCACAATTTTCAGTGCCAATTTAAATCTTCTGAATGGCTAAACTGACAAGCGTTTGTGAAACTGCTGGCACCTTGTCCACACAGTCCATTGCTAAATCACGGGTTCAGCATAAAAATGGCTCTTTTGATCTCGTGCTCCTTTTTTTTCTCATCGTACACCATTTCAATCAGTGCCTGGCTCTTGGTGCAAGCTGAATGCCAAAGCATGGCTGAGTTTGATAGTGATTCGTAGGCCTTACTGTAGCCCTGCAACCTGGGGAAATAATTAGTGCAGCGTAAAGATACTGAGCCATCGTGATGCACCCCGCCATGGAACAATGAGGTGTCCACAGCAAATAACGATATATATTAATAGGGCAGACACCTATATAAGAGTGGCATGAGAGTCGGCTGAACGGGATGTTGGTTTATTCGGAGTTTTGCCATTCGACGGACAGCATGAATCCACTGTTAGGAGTCTGCTATTTTTCTGCAAACTACATTACCCATGCTGCAAAATGAAATGAATCCACATAGGCAGCAAGTTGGCTGGTCCATAATTGGTCGCGAAAGCCTACGTGTTAACGTGAAGTTGGCTGGTGTTTTAAATATTCTCTAAATTTAAACCTTATGACGAAGTTTAAAATAACAAATGCTCGGGGGACGACAGTAGCTGAGCTCACATCATTTAAGAGAACAGCTGCTTCGAAGCAAGTATAGGCATCTACATCTGTGTCGTCATAATCTCTTATATACAATTACATGTGAGTTTTTTTTACAGAAACTCCAGTTTCTTTACTCGTGAAAAAAACTTTATTCTAAACGAGACCTTTCTGAGTATCTTAATGTCCTTTGGAGATTTCCTGGCTGTTAAAATAAAACATCAACTGTAGAAAGAAAGAGCTGACTTTTGGTAGCATCAGGTGATGGCGAGACCGAGAAGTGATGCCATGTGAGAGTTGAGGAGGTAACCTCCTCTCAGCATGGACAATCTGATGCGGGGTATAGGCATCAACACTTATCTTGCATTTCTCTCGCAATGCATCCTGGCTCCTGAATCCAGATTAGCATTAAAGGCCATCAGAATAGCAGGAGGAAAATAAGAATACAGTAACTTCCTTTAGCGTTGATCATATTTAGAGGCACAGCTTATATTTTTTAAACAAAAGGCACCCTCGTGAAAGAGAATGATAAGACCTGTGGTGCACAGAACAATACCGAGCTGGCATACTTCAATGTTTGTTTAATCGTCTCTTACCTTTCCTGCAAGGCTTTTCCGAAATTAGTTTTGCAAAAAAAATGGTGATTATGGGATCAAGACCTGTTTCTGCAACGGCAAAACACAAAGGAACGCAAACCAATACGTTTAAGAATCATTGTCCAGTCCACCGTAGAAACGTCGTAAATTGTTGGTCAAGAAACAGAATAACATGCTCCAGGGAATGTTGCGAGCACTGGCTGCAAGTTTTATCCTTATTGGAAACTTGGGATCATTCGAAAAATAAATATGTGAGGCACATTATATAATTGGGGATTATTTGTTTTAAGTGTATACGCTACTAAAACAATGCTTGTGAGTAGTACATACTTGCATAGCCATTATTAGTTTTGGTGCTACCAGCAACTCCATACTGATTGTGGTTTACGCCAAAGCAAGGATTGCCTTTGTTCATCTCACAAGAAATAATAATCAATGTCCATTAAATGCTCACACCCTCATGTTTTCAATCTCCATTAACTTTTTGAGATGTTTGCTTTAAAAAAAATCATCCAATGAACAACAGCACTGCATTTACGTACCAGGTTTGAAGTCAACGGCATATGAAAGAGAGCCTGTGACTGCAAACATGGTGCGGTGCATAATGCATGAAATCTTTATTTACTGTGCAGCGTCACTTAACTTAATGTGGGGCGGAGAGGGGGGGGGGATTTACAAAACGGAAACTCAGACATAAAAACTGCACAGCAAGCAGCGTTGCTAACTGCAGCCTGGTTTTTTTTGTGATGAGCAGCCAATATTGTACACTGCTGCACCAGTGCACAGAGTCTGCAACGACGCATCACGCCATTACAGGAGCACAAGACTGGCAATTAGGCGCCACCAGCGATGCTCGTTGGAGAATAATTTGCAGCCGGGGTCTAATGGCATGTACAATTATCGCACACAATTTCATAGAGGCCGGGCAAAAAGAAGAGGAGATTAAATTGCTAAGAGTTGCATGTAATGCTTTCCAGGTCATCGATTTTCGTTATATTAAAAAAAAAATTGTCACGATCGATAGAAGATAATAGAAAGACACGTGTCATAAGAAATAATACACTGGGGAATCAAACGGTTACTGATTTTGTAATAAATGATCACTTTGTCCATAACCAAATACAATATTGTTTCTTTTTTAATATAATACCAACGTGAGTATGCTGTAATTCAAGCACTTCATATCAATATGCATATAATACATTTGAATGGATTATGTCAAACAGATTTAGATACAACTTTTGGACAATGACATAAGTTTAATCCTTACATGAGTAGCGTGAAATCTTGATCATTTATGGCACTGCCTTTCCCCGAGATTAACATATGTTGACAGATCACAAAATTTAAGGTCATAATTAAGTTAAGATAATTCAAAAGTAAATATTTTTCAGAAATCTGACCTTTGTGCAGCACTAACCAACAATTTAATAAACATGGCTTAGGGGATGAAAACCACATCCACCGTTAAACAAAAAATAACTTTTGAAGGGCATACCTTTAAAATTTAAAATATTTGGATGCAAAATGAAAATCAGAAGCCAAATAAGGGACACAATGAACGATTGAGAGCGAATAGGAGATGGAGTCATGGAATTAAGCATAATTTGTCGACTAAGATGTATTGTAGCCACCACACACAACCCCGAGGTGGACACATCGGCAATGAGATTTCCTGATTGAACAGTCGATTGAGAATAAATGACCAGGGTGATGGAAGGAGGGAGCGACGGGGTGTTGCGATGTCAGACAGCATTTTGTTTACTTATTAACACGGACCTAAATATTGATGGGCTCTTTGAAGCATGATGGTATAATGGGATTCTAAAAGGGACCTTGTCCGAAAAACAGTGATCTGCATGGATCAGTAACTTCGCTACTGGAGCTAATTATACACAAATAGGTTCGGAAGTAAATTTCTTACAGCCATCTAAGGGTCTGGATTCAATGGGCATAAGAGTTTTAATATTTTCAATGTGGCTAACTACATAATTATCAATTGCTGATTAACGCGTTTACTATAGAGGTCCTGCCAATGAGTTATTTAATTACAAATAAAACTTGTAATTTCATGAATTAGGGGGCTTATTCTTTTAAAATTTCAATCAAGCATAATTTTAATAATGAAGTGCGATTCAGCCGCCGGGTGTAGGCAAGCTAATAAGGGTAAACAACTTCATACCTCCACACATGCTTCCGATGCCAAAACATTTCGCCAGACCAACAGTAAATCTGGTATCGTCAAATGAGTTCCTCACTTTCTTCAAGCACCCAGCTTCAAACACCGACACCTCTTGCCTTGAGGCGGGAGAGCGTCGCAGCAGCAGTTTGCTCGCTGTGCGCTGAGCCCGGTGACTCGAGTTCAATTCCCCGCCGTGCTAACTTCCGCAGCGAGCGATAGCTGAATTGGTCATGGGCCAACAATACACCTGCTCGCACTAGCCAGCATCGTGAAGTATGGTTAAAAAAAAAAACAGACCTCATGAATGACGTGACATGGAGAGGCCTTCACCCAGCTGTAGATTGAAAACTGTATAATTGTACTGTATATGTATAATGCTACATTCTACACGTTTCCTTTTCACATTAATCTAAACATATTATGTTGTGGGTTTTTTTTATATTTGCCATTGTATCAAGATTTACCAAGATGTTGTTCCATCTATGAATTTTAAACCATTCGTCTACACTTTTGAAGTGTCGGTCCCTCATGACAGATGGACAGCAAGACCCATGTGTGACCTGGGGAGGAAAAAAAAAGTGAACAACAAATCATTAATATTTATCTATGCCAGACCATATTGTTGTGAAAGCTGTCACTTTTGGTCGATTAATTCTTTGACGTCTTTCCTGGCGAGGCAGTCCCCTTTTCTGACTGTCAGAATGTCTGTCAAAAACATCCCCTTCGACGAGCCTAGAAGAACAGGATGATAAAAAGAAGATGGTTTACAGTACTTAAATGTGCTGCATTAAAATTCTACCATAGAATTCCTCTGTGGATTCATCACGACCACAGGCTTTAAAGTTGTCTGCACAACCATTTGTTGTTATTCCTCCTTGGATAAAATACATCACAACGTAAGAGGGCCTTAATGCAAACATTATTTACGATGGAACAGCAGAGCTGAATCAGAGGCAACACTATCTCCTCCAAATTTGCGGCTCAACGATGTCAACTCCCAGCTCTGACACTTGGCTGTTTGTGGTTGGCGATTACAAGGCATTGCTGCACTTGAAAGTTAAATTATGGCAAACTGAATAGACAGTCTTCATATCGACTCGACTAGTGTTTTCCATTATGAAATCATCAAATTGTCATCTTCATCAGACATGATCAAGCCACTGCTGGATGAAGGCCACCCTAGGCCTTCGCCATGTCTCAGGATCCTGCAATGCAATAATAATTAACCGCAGCTCCTGCCCACCAGATTTTTACTTCACTATCCCTTCAGTCGATGTCCTCTCAGACGCATTTCGTCACTTAGCTGCCACCTCCGTCATTTGCGATGGAAAGTACCTGCTTTATGCCTAATGAAAACACTTCATATATATGTATATAATGTATGATAAAGGTTATAAAAGTTTCGGCCTGGCATTTTGGTTCAACCAATTGCAAGTACATAGAGTAAAGAAGCTAGGCAACATTTTATAAATTCATCACGTGAACTCGTGACATGTTTTCATCATTAGGGATCGGCAACTCCCTGGCAGATGCTACTTTCGCAAGACCCGCATGTAAGACAGGTAACAAACATTACACATTTGGCTGCCGATCAATGAACTACAAGTGTCTGTACATCTGGCCGGTTGCTCTAAACTTGGTGTTATTATCCACTGTTAAAAAAAAACTTCTCCCTTTGATTTACATCAAATATATATATACAACAGCTCTTGAGATGTGCTTGCAGTACACACATCACACAACTCAAGTAAACATTGTTTTATTTTATTTTACCAGGCAAGGCCCACTGTGCTATTTTGCTTGTTTTCAGAAGCGACCTGGCCACAAATAACGCCTCAACGAAGTGGCTTATCACGTGGAAATGTATAGCAGCCAAATACTCTAAACGCATGTTTCTAATGTGGAGGGAAAACCCGGATGATTCGGAGAAAAATCCACGCGACTACGGGGAGAACATTCAAACTCCAAATATGCAGGCATCTGAGTCGGGATCAAATCCACGACCTCCAGCATACCAGGTGAGGTGGTCACCACGGTGGCGAGCCCAGATGAGCTGCTCACTCTACCACTGAGCCACCTGGCTGTCCACTTGATTGTACAACTGAGTTTTGTTTGATTCAATTGACTAAAAAGTAACGTTGAGTGATTTAAACTGAAACACATGTACCCTGCAGATGTAAATTATATAAAACAATGGCTAAGCGACACCGAGTAAAATGAATGCACAAATATAATCCACCGATGAATATGCGCTCTTTTTATTTATTTTTACCGGTCAGTAATTTTTAGTGTGAAAAATGAGTGTGAAAAATCAAACAACAAACACCCACCGCATCCATGTACTGTATCAGAGACAAGACAACCAATCAAACGGCTCAATTGCTTGCACAATGTCCTGTATTCCAACATCGATGCAGGTGTGGGCAGGTGGAACAGGTGATCGAGACAGTGCACATTAAATCTTTTGACAGTCACAAAAAAAAACATTCTTTGACACTGTCTTGATTCAATCCTGAGTTTAACTAAAACTGAATTATAAAATGTACCCATTTTAAAAATGGTGTCTTGTTCATGGACATGCTGTCAATCACTAAATTACATATATCTAATGTGAGGAGTTGCACACTCTTCGTTACAATAATTCAACATCATACAAATCAAACACATAGATGACCGTTCATCTGTAGGTTGTGTCAAGTTTATTTTTTCTCATTTCACCAGAATGACTACAATATATATTTAATTCAGCATTGGCAAGAACAGGAAATGTCCATTGCCACATTGGTGGTATTTTAAATGCAATTTCCTGAAACTCTGGGGATACCATATGTTTTGACCACGAGGAAGTGAAATGACAAAGCTGCCACATGTAATTGTGCAAGAGCAAAGAGCAAACCATGTGTAGCTGTAAAACACCAGGACCACAATTTCATCCTTTCACCCCGCAGTGTTATTTTCAGTTCATTACTGCTGACTGCACACAATGATTGTAAAAAATAACCCGATACAATTTTCACAATGATTTTATACGTGGATCTGAGACTCAGTCGTTTTATATTGTATAAATGTCACAAACGAGTATTAAAATGCCTTCCTCCGTTCGTATGAATTATAATTGAATGAGTTGAATGCATTCACCAAAAGTGAAAGTCGCTGAGACTGTATGTGTCCCTGGCCCAAACAGAATTATTCTACCACAGCTGATATAAAATGACAAAATTAATGCCTGGCTCAGCAACCCTGAAATAAATGCAATCGTGGGCAGTGGCCAAGGTCTGGAGAAAACATTTCCTTTGCTTGGCCACTAAGTATTTATATTTTCCTCTAGATTTCCATTATTCTCTCCTTTGATCTCAAAACGATGGTTAGATTTTTCACAAAGGGCTTTACCGGGCCTCCATGTTAAACGAGGAAAGCAAAAAATTGACGTTAAAATTACCAACTTCATGTACCCCTGCAAGACGGCATGACTTACCAAACATCTTGATTTCTACTGAATAATTGCATTTTCTTATGCTATATATCATCACGTCACGTAACAATACATAACGAGACTGATGTTTGACGGTTTAAAAGCCTATTTTTTCTCTGGTGGTGAGTCACAGCGTCCATTACTTTTGTAATCTGGAACCAACAAAACAGTCAAGATGGCCCCATTGTATAATGTGGACTCACAAGTGCTTGTCTTTAAGAGCACATAGGTGTGTGCGAGTGTTTTTTTTTCTAATTACCCTTATACTTTACGAGCAGGGTGCACTAATTGGAACCAAGATAACTTTTATCAAAACGCTGCAATGTGCTCGCATATTTTAGCGGTTGGCAATAGCATTCCCGTACGTGCAATCTATTAGATGGTTACATAAATTACGGTTGATGTTCTGCTTTTATTTTTAGAATGACATAAAGCGATTGTATACTCTCCATTTGTAATCGAGCCCTTGGCGTTACCTTGACAAAATAATTCCCATTACATTCCAATTGCAATAAAATATTTAGCCGATTAAAGTACTCCATACCGATTCAAGTATAAACCTCACCGTTATTGTTAGTGCAGAGTAACCCTAATAAAACCTTGAATTTCTTTAGGAAAATACATTATTTCCTTTCATCACATCCTTTTAATGAACCAAAGTAATTAACGCAATAATCAAATCGGGTTTTTTTTTTACCAATACATTTGAATACAAATCAGGCAAAAACATATTCAGTACTTTGACAATCCTCTGCTGGATGAGGGCTCCCCCATGCCATGTGCATCTTGAGGATTATCTGATTATACTTTGTATGTATATATGTTCAACCTTTTGTCGCACCGTACATAGCCAAGCGTGCTAATACCTCGTTGGTCAGTACGAGTTGAAGATGTGCCACATCGACGTGGGAGCACAGAAATACAGACCAATGGATTTTCCCACACTGCCGTCAACCTCGTAGCCCCGCACAGCAGCCTCCATCGCCTGTCATCAACGGCGGCTACCCATTCAAGCACCTCCCAGGCTCAACCCCCGCTTCGCTTTCAAGACCTGTTGAAATTGGACACATTCCAGGTGAATTGACCGGAGGCAGATTGGTAAGTAACACTATATCAATTATACTGACAATAGAGTTTTAAATTAAGCTTTGACGAAGAAAATCGAATGGAAAATGCAAGCAGCCCTGCCCGATATGATGAAATTCATATTTTGGAGAAAAAAATAAGTACACAACTATTGTGACTTATTGTTATATAGTGCCAAAATGTTGCACCACACACCTCTAATTATTGCTATATCTTATTGTAGTGTACTAATTCACAGACACTAGTAGGATGTACTCTCTCTTGTATTCCAGCCTTCACAGCCTTAGGGGAATAACTTTATACCGGGTCGGGACAGCCAAAATGCTGCCAGACCCACAGCTTGAAGAGGGCGAAGATCACGACAACGACGGCACAACGAATTCCACTCCACATCGCAACCACCCCGACTGTGAGTCGGAGCTCACCTTATACCCTGCTCAGCGCAGCCAGGCTCCGCCCTCGGCCTCGCACCCCTATGGATCCCCCAGAGGGCTCCATGCCTTGCCCACAGGTCCAACTGATAGAACGGGCTGTTGCCCCTAATTCTATTGTCTAACAATCTCCCAGCTGCACGCGCTATAGTGACTCATTCAATGTAACTACATTATTGTAAATGTGCCTCGCAACGTTATCACATTATTTTTCATAATTCATATTTCCTTACGTTTTTAAAATTGTAATTATTTGAATTGTACTCTCACTGACAAAGCTTTGACCCAAGGGAGATTATTGCTGTTAACTATGCATACGCTAAAATGTCGGCCTAAATTTCCCTGTAGAACTAACTCAAAGAATAACCTCAATGCATATTTTGGAAAATTATTGGACTGATTCAAAAACATTTTTATCGCTATACTTAATCTATTTAATTTAAGACCTTATTGGAAAATGAAACTAAATCAGTGTGCAAGTACATATAATATTCCCATTGAAATTTAGATTGAAGAGGAGAATTGTTGAATTAAAAAGAACCCCAAAGTAAACTCTGAGCGGTGTGCCCCT